TATTCAAATATGGGAAATTTTAGTTTCATTGACCTAAATTATCATTTAAAAACGTTTGCTTTACTATAAACATTTTAGATTTACTCGTTCTTCCTTATGTATGATGAAGGAATCAGACTTGGCAGTTAGCGACAACTTATGATAATTTTGAATATTCCCAGTTATAGGGCAACACGTGCCAAGCAATTTTTTCCAGAAAGATATATGCGGCAACTTCATACTTCCAGCAAAGAAAACATATTTTCAGCTCATTTCATCTCATCATTTTCAGCTGATTTTGTCTGAAAAATATTCCTAAACGTCAGAAATCCTTTAAATTATTTATTTTAGTAAAAAAAGAGAACGAAATACCGATACACTTAAACATTTACTAATCACGTTGCTTAATTTGAAACAAGAACAGTATTACAATAAATAAAAAATATCACATACAGTTCAACAGTGGAATATAAACAGCATTACAGCATCTAGAAATATAGGATTCTGTAGGAAATAGTTTTGCCCATTTTGTCTCGTAACGAAAAAAATCCATAATTTTTTTTTTCGGGCTCACAAGTACCGAGAGATAATAATCACTGAACACGGCTATTTCCATCTGGGTACAAATCCTCGCGAATGAGTTTACTGCTTGACAGTCTTGATGGTTTTCTCCAAGTGTGACCCCTTTCCTTAGGCAGATAGCCTTGCATGCTTCTTGTAACTTAAACAGTCCTAATCCATAATTTTATCTCTTTCCCTCTAATAAATTTCTGAATTTTTAAATTGTGATATTTTATATTTTTACTCTTTTTTCTTTAAAATAATGTATTTTTATAAAGGAAAAAAAATAGGCAAAAGGAGAACTGGAAGTGATTCAAGCAATTCATGATATTTTTTTAAAATTTAATCGAAGTTTTTTTAACGCCATATGGTTTTCAATTCACAATCTTTTTTATATTTTAAAAAAATTATTGACGTAAGAAATAATATCAGCGCTGCCATTATTGGATAAAAAGCCAAAACATTATGACATAACGTGTTGCGCGATCTTTGGTTTGCAAAACAACTGCAATTCGCCTTGGCATGGATGGCACAAGCTCTTGGTAGATGACCGAAGAGAGGTTATCCCAAATGTCTAAACGGCGATAATGCAAAATCAAAATACTCCGACATGGTGCTGTTTGAGCTCTGAGTTGTTGCTTCAGGACATCCCAAAATGCTCTCTATCGGATTAAGATCTGACAAGTTAAGTGGCCAGGACATTAATTGGAATTTATCCTTATGCTTCTCGAGCCACTCTAACAAAATTCGAGCCTTGTGACTGGGGCGTTGTCCTGCTGGAAGATTCCATTTCGAGTTGGGAAGATAGACGCCATGTAAGCGTGTAACTGATCTGCAGTTATGTTCAGATAGCCTGCAGCTTTCATGGTCTGTTCTACCATAACTAAGGCTCTCAGAGCCGCCCATGAGAATGTCCCGCCACCACCAGCCTGTGTGTGATCTGCTGTACAGTGAGGACCAACTGTTCGCCTGACACGACCACGACTATCAAAGTGATGAATGAGAAGAAATCGTGATTCATCCAACCAGACAACTGTCTTCCACTTATCCATGGCCCAGTCTCGATGTTCCTGGGCCCACTGCAGGCGTAGTTGACATTGACATTTGCTCAACAGAGGCACACGAGGTGGACGTCTGCTGCGCAGGCCCATATCCAACAGTGCCTGCTGAATTGTGTGTTCCGAAACAGTTGCACTTGAACCTGCATTGTATTGGACTGTCAGCTAAGCCACTGCCCGGCCCCAATTTAGCTTACCAAGCGGGACTGTCTCTGACGTCCTTCTTCTTTGATAACGCGTGGACGTCCAATACTTTGGCGTTTGCTGCTGGTTTCACTGTCATTTATCCACTTTGCATAAATACTAACAACGACAGATCGTGAACAACCTACCAGTCGTGCGATTTCGGAGATACTCGTTCCGATTCTTCGGGCCATTACAATCTGCTTTCGTTCAAACTCGCTTAGATCAGCAGCATTTTCCATCACTCGCAAAAGCAAGTGCAATAATGCGCTTAATCCCTTACCTTCTTCAGCAGCAGTTAAATACCATTTCCACTTAATCAGGCGCCCTCCACATCATCCAGACAAGTTCTTGGGTATGGTCATAATGTTTTGGCTCGTCAATGTATATTGAAAACAGAATAGCATGAAAAAAGTAATATAAATATATTTGAGAAGATCTGAAGAAGAGAAATAAACAGCCATATTTCATATTCCGTATTTAATTGTTAAACAATAAGATGCTTTTTGTGCACAGAAAAATAAAATGCTTTGAAGATTTTTCTTCATTCGAAACCTTTTCGGAGCATATTAAAAAGTAGCTGTAAAAGAAATTGTATAAGGAGTTGCACTGTTCACTAAATCTCATCGTATAATTTCTGTTGCATCTTAAGAGTAGATCGTTGGACTGGAACGACTGACTAAAAAAATTAGTGTAATAAAAACACATTTAATTTATTATTAAATCATTAAATACTTTTATGAAATTACACTAACGGGGTCATTGAAATCATTATATATTTTTTATAATAACGTTTTTAGAAGGTTAGTCCTATAAAAACAAAATATTAAATTCTAATTAAATACTTTACTTCTTACAAAAACGGAAAATTGTGCATGAACAAGAAAATATTTTGTAATATAAAATAATCTTCAAAAATTAAGGAAAAAAAAAAAAAAAAAAAAGAGAGAGAGAGAAAGCTAAAAGCTTTCAGATTTTACATTATGCCCAAAGCGGCGTTTTTTTAACTTTAGATGTGTTACTTTTATTTCTTAAATATGTTCTTCACACTTAAACCATAAAATTCAATTCAATTGCAGTATCAGAAAATGCTCTAGAGATAAAAATGTTGTTTTTTTTTTTTCCCCTTTTTTTCCTGTACTGTGTTGCCATTGCTCGCTTTGAAATCGTTGAGTTTGTTAACCAAAAATTCGTTAAAGGTTTACAAAATGTGAAATAGATAATAAAAAAATTCTAAACTTCAAATTAGGGCTTCCGGATGCCCATATTTGAGTGGAGGACTACGTTATTCAAAATTTCTTGGCTCTAGGTATCGTTATTTTTTCACAATGCGAGAAACATTCATACATTCATGTAGATTATTCAGTATTTAATTTCTTTAAATATAATGCAGGGCTCTAATATTTGGTGGCAACAATTTGAAAAGTGAAACGCCATTTTATAGTGGACGTCACAAAATGCCAAAACGGAATTAATAGCCCTTCTGGGCAAATTGCCGCTTTGGGCTAAAATTTGTAAATTATCATAGAAATCACATAAAATTATCAGTAAATTTAATTATGAGGTACGATTTGCGCCAGAAGCTGCTGCACATTATTTTCTTCTTTCACGTCATTGGTCTTCGAAAAGCTTCTAAGGCCGAAAGATTATATTAAAAAAATGCATAAATATTAAGGGTAAGTTCTTTTAAAGGTTTCCCATGTAAGAAATTTGTTGTTTTGATATATCTTGTACAGTGAAAGAAGATCTTCATTTGTGGAAACATTGTTCAGCGAGCTTATAATAATAGCGATTGTTTACATTTTAAGAATTTCGTTATGCAGTTTTCTTGTTAAAGCCATCTCAACGAAATTCCGAAAATTATTCATTTTTATTTCGTTCTTTAATATGAAATTTAATGTTTGCATATGTTTATATTAAATATGAAATATGAAATTTAATGTTTTTTTTTTCTTTTTCTGGATATGGTTACGTTACTTCTTTCGTCTTCTAGGTCTCTGAATAACAAATACTAATATCAGTTTTAATTCTTTATTCTTGAATTTCTGTACCATTTTAATTTTTTATTATTCATTTAGGCGGCAGGCTTAATCCAGAGCAAAGGCAATTTTTCAACATGCTTTGATGTCTCTGAACTTCATCGGATAATCCATTTCATCCCTTTTGAAACGTTAGCGAATTAACAGCGCCTCTATTTTTTACAAGCACCGTCTTTCTTGGTACAGTACAATTCCAATTATCCGAACTCCGACTATCCGAATCGCTTTTAGAATTTCAGAATCAACTGAAAAAGAGAAGGAAAAGGACAAAAAGGAAAAAGAAGCTCAAGCAAAGGAAAAGGAAGAGACAGGAGAGGGTGAGGATGATGTGTCACTTGAAAATTAAGAAACATTCTTTTTGAAAATTCCTGGATGTTCAGAAGTTAGTTAGTGCTGGGGATACAGCAGAATGGATGGTGTGTGATTCGTCAGACCCTGGGTTTCAAATTTTAAATGATGATGAACTTATTGAAAGTGAGGGAGAAGAAAATGTCGAGAAAGAAAATGACCTTAATGTCGAAATTGAAGCAGAAATCGGGACCATCAGCTAGTGAAGCGTTTGCCTGACTTTGAAACTGCGTTGAAATGGATGGAGCGTCAACCCAAGTATATAACCACATGCAACTGTCCGAAAATGGATGAAGACCGGTCAAACAGCTTACTTTGACCGAGATGTTTAGCAAGCAATGACTTTCAGCACTTGTAAGTACTGTACTGTACGCTATATAACATGTACGTAAAAGTGCTGTCCTTTCATTTTAATTAATTAAAACCTCTTTTTCTTTAAAAGCACTTGTTTTCTCTCATTTCCAACTTACAGTACATATAGTAATTAATTAAAGAGAACGTAGACTCTTTTTTCGGAAAAAATCCAATTATCCCAATGGGGTCCGGTCCCAATTGATTCGAATAATTGGAGTTCTACTGTACATGGTATGCAGTAAGCAAGTACCGGATACTCATTTGCATAAAGCGTTTGCTCGTTTTTAAAGCGAAATTTAAAAAACCTTTCTTTGGGAAATAAACCTGTCTTTTTCAGCTAAAGATTCAGTTTACGAGTGTAGGTAAAACCAGATCGCATAGTTTTGAAAACCCGTTCGACCCAATTTTACCCTAGCGGAGAAAAATAAACAAACGAAACTAAGCGGAGAAACACGCACCCGAAGTATTTTAGCTCTCACTATCAGATGCAGTCGTCAGAACAAACGATAGCTTTACCAAGAACTGGGACGTGTTTTATGCAAGTATTCTCTCTCTCGTTTGCTAGCGATTTCTCTGTCGAACTTCGTTAACTTTCTTTTTCTCGCGCATGTCTCGAACTGTGAATAATAATAATAATAATATAAAAGAGGCCTCCTAGCGTTAATGATGAAAACAAGACCTTAATGAAAGCTGAGGAACTGCGCCGTTAGAATTCTGGAACCAGTTCTGAAAATATTGTTTTTTGATGAGTTAAAAGAGTCTGCGGGAGTCGTCTTGGGGAGTTACTGGATTATTTTCGGCGGGAAAATGTGTTGATTACAAGGAATAGAATTCTACGTTTTTATATTTCACAATTGAAGAATGTGCTGAAGGTATGTAGTTTATAAGACACTCTTCTTCTCGTAGTACATTTTTTGTTTTTATTTGCCTCGTATTATATTGTTATGTGTGTATTATTTCGTTTTTCGGGTAGACAAAGAATAAATAAAATTATACGGGATATTGTTTGTATCTTGAATGGCAATTCATAAGTTCATTAGAAAGCTACTTGTGGACATGTGGACTATAATCTGTCGAAGATAGCCAAAAATAAATAATGCACTTTAATGGTATGATTGCTAATTTTTTTTTGGGGGGGGGTAGTAAATTAAAGTTAAAAATTTTACTTCATTAAATTAGAATAGAAATCGGTTATCAAAGAACTCTTATGAATGATTCTTTAATTTTTTACTGTTTATTTAGTTATTTAAAAAAATTCAAATTTAAATTATGAAAAATTAAAGAAATTAAACAAGTCTAACTACTAATACAGAAGGCATTTCATTTTTAGATTGAGCTGTAAGGTAGAAAGAATAAAAAAATCTGAACATGTAATAGAATTAAGAAGCTGCAGGAGAACAAAACTGTAAACTTAGACAAATTTTATTGCTAATAATTATTTCTTTCATGAGTAACTTAAGCTGCTAATAAATCGAATCGTATTTCAATATAAGATTAAAACCCATTTTCTGTAAAATAAAATTGCATATAATTAATTAACAATTCTTACTTTTTTTTTATTTCAAATAAAAACAAATTCATTTAATCAAAAAAATCTATAGAATATTTTAATCATCGAAAAATTTCCGTTTATTCTTAAATAATATTTTTTAACCATAAATGCTATCAGATTTCTTTCCACAGAACCAATTCTCTTTACTTGGTCAACTAAAGCACTGTCGAGAACGACAGTTGTTGAAATGCGAATCTCGTTTTTGTTTATATGCAAATGTGTTTTAAACTGGAAGCTGAAGAAAATGAATAAGAATTTATGCATGTCCCGCAAACGCATATAAAATCTTAGAAAATATATTTATTTATGTGCACAAAAGGGCAAGAAATAAAGCAAACGCTATTCAGATACATAGAATACGAAAAAAATACACTTTCCTAACAATTGATTAGAAAGGTTGATGTTGGATGGGTGATTTATGATTTTATTTCTCTAATTTATTACAGCTTAATTATAAATAAAAGACAATTAAAAAGGTTTTTATATACAATAAGCTTTTATTTCAAATGGATAGGATAATTCTCGAACTCAAAATAGAAAAACAATTTATCTTACAGTTTTATGGAAACAGGATATTAAAGAATTCTCTTTACAAAATTAGTCTGCAGTTTTATGTTACGAATAATAAAAGCAGGGGTTGTCTTTAATATACAAATAACTACTTATTACAATTATATTTAAGAATTTATTCATTATTATCAAGAGCACCTCACGATTCATTATTCATGATATAAATTTGTAGATGAATATTGTAAAGAATGTTATTTAATATCCTGTTTACTTAAACTGTATGATAAGTTGAAATAATTGTATAAAATTATATAATATAATTGTATAAATATTTTTGTATAAAATTCATTCGACTACATTTTATTTTCTGCTTTTTAGACTCAATTACAGTAAAAATTGAATTAAATCCTAATCAAGCCTTTAATTGTGTCTTTTTTGAGATAATAAATGAAAGGCTATTTATTACAGAAGCTGAAAGAATCACATGGCATAATGACATCACCAAACGTTAAAATAATGTGTTTGCAAGTAAGTGATGGGGATGGTCGAAAAAACCGATTTCTCCTCCCCTTTCTGCTTAAGACTGCAGCATACATAAAAAAAATAATAAATAAATAAATAAATAAATAAATAGAAATAAAAAAATAAATAAATAAAATATTGCCCAAATGGTAGTTTTTTTATAATTGTTTTAAAAGAAGGCAGAATTATTTTATACTGTGAAAATTTCAATATTTTATATGCGATACGTTTTTGTTATTAAAAGTTTAAAGTCATTGGCAGTCGAGAAAAGTCGAGTAATTTCCGAAAATTCGCCAAATGGCCGAAAAATCGTTTAAATATTAAGAAATATATATAAATCGAATTTTGAAATTTCACATTCATCGACAAACTGGGTGTGTAAAAATTTGAACTCGATAACTAGACGTAAGTTAAAAATCGATGACAAAATTCTGGCCATAGTAAATCACCATGAGCGAATTAATTAAAAGTTATAAAAAGAGGTATTATTTTGGCAATAATTACATAAAAAATCGCAGTAATCAATGCTGCTAAACATTTCACTTAGATATAGTGTGATAGTGAAGCATTTTTTAACCTTGTATCACTGCTGTGAACTGTTTTAGCTAACGCTAACGGGGGTTATACTATCCGTGATCGGATAGTAGGTCGAAAGAGAATACACGATAAATAAATGAATTCTGGATATATACGAAAATGGTCACAGAGCCTACAGAGGAAACATGTAATAATGCTGCGTGCGTATTGGCTCGTAATAGACTGAATGCGCACAGATCCGATGATAAATTGATAAAATTTATTTTATCAAAAGAAACATTTCAGAGTTCTGGAACTTTCCATAGAAATACTTATATAGGTGTTCACAGTAGTACAGAATACAATTAGTAGTTACGCATCAAACTGCTAAGAACGTTAAACACAATGCAAGCAAAGCGCATCTAAACGGCGAAGCTTTCAATGCTCCGAAGTCGCTCAGGACTAATGCTGTTATCACATCTATAGACGCGCGCGCTTAACCGGGACAATTCCGAGAAACGAGATTCTAGTAGTACGGCTTTAAGCGGCAGGCTTCCGAGAAATGTTTCGTCTAGCTAGGAGGAACGTGTCTCCTAGCTAGACGAAAGCAAACAAAAAGCGAGAAAGCGACGAAAGCAAGAGGAGCAACATTTTAAAACTTTTCCCAAAATGTTCCGGCTGGAGACGTGTTCCTCGAACGTTCAACCAATCAGACGAAAGGTCAGCTTCTGAAGGATCACGGGTAACTTTCAATATGGCGATGGTTCTCACTGTGAAGTAATGGACGATGGAAATAGAGGCCGATTTAATTATTGCTGTTTTGTTGTAATACAACTGCCTGAGTCATTTTTTAAATGTGTATATATTCATTAAATATATAATCGTGGAAATTTCAGAGTTGACAGTATTTTACGACGTACTTGCATTTCGGATTTGTTTACAAATTGTTCGTAGCCAAAAGTTCGCCAAATTTGTCGTATTTCGTGCTGATCGTGTATTATAACACTGTTATATAATAGAATTTTATTTCTTAAATTTAAGTTGAATAATTTTTTAAAATCCATTTGTATATGCGCGGCTTTTCTCCTAATTACTTATCTTTTAAATTGTTAACTGCATAATCAGTGACACATTTTAAACAGCATAAAAGATGCATAAAAAAGAAAAGCATAGCTTATGTAATAATGAGAATACTCATTAAATTTGTCTATTATTTTCATGTTATTAATGAAATACTTTTTGAATTATAAATACATTAGAAACTATACTTTTATTGTAAATGCTACATATTGAAACATTGAAAATTTATGGATTTATTATTATGCATGATGAAAAACATTTGTATATACATTCATTAATATAAATCTTATTCATTACATTAATACTAATAAATATATATTAACAACTTCTAAACATCGCATCTCTCTATCTGTATGTAAAATATATGACTTATTAGATGTGTATATATATATATGTATGTATGAATACAAAAATGAACATTGCCAAGAAGTTTATTTGAAGTTACTTTTAATTCAGATAACGATTATGTAATTGGCAGCAACTATAGTTATCAGTTCTTTGCAAATTATTATGGGTATGTAATAATCAGTTGAAAAATAATTGATGAGTATTTGAGTACTTAAGAATGTACACATTTTGTTATTGGGTTAATTCATAATTATATCATACGTATGATCTACGTAATAAAAACATGACTAATAAATAATAAGAAATGTAACAGCTGTGCATTTATAACATTTGCTTACTTAAAACAGCGCACAACTGATTATCACCTTCATGTCTGTTTACATAATGAATTGCACTTTCCAATTAAGTGCACGGGCCTACTAGTGGCCAAAGCGTCGTTGAACACTGGTAGTTCTGTCTCAGGTTAGAATGCCGCGAACGGGCTGGCTACATCACGTTTCCTTGGTTTGCCGCATTTGTAACTGGTATACGAGCCAGTTTAAAAAAATCTTCTACAAAGGGATCCCTTTTGTTGCTATCCCTCGAGGCTTTGCGGTAATCACATAAAACCAACTGAGCCCACCAGCGGCCGAGCGGTAAAGTCGCTGAACACTGGTAGTTCGGTCCGAGGTTCGAATCCCGCGAACGGGCTGGCTGCATGGACACTTTCGTGGTTTTCCCCATGTGTAAGTATACGAGCCAGTTTCCCTTAGAAAGTCCTCCCCGAAAGCATCCCTTCCCTTAGGCAGATAGCCCTAGTGTGCTTTGCTAATCTCAATAAACCAAACCATAAAACAAACTCATGATGTGAACACCTAATTTCTAGAGTTGGTATAATTAATGTGTTTTAGGTATATTACCGAGTGTTCTATGGGACAGTAAACAACTCGCACATGTTTTATTGCTCATGTATTCATATGCTTTATTTGATCTTCATTTTGCTGAATAGTATCTGCTGGCTGTGAGGAGGTAAATATCAGCCATATAGATTTTTTTTGTCATAGAAGGTTTTTTTTTTTTTTTTTGTCTGTTTGTTTGAATGATGGACAAAACAGTAATTATGAGCCATAAAGTTAGTCAAGAAAATGCTTTCACCAGGTCACAATTTTCCAGTGAGCCATCAAATTTTCATTGAAATGCGGAGACAACAGAAAATACACATAAGCGATGTGTGATAAATAGACTTATCCAGCACATGTTTTTTTAAACTATTCTTAGTGTATACAGAATTTGGCTATTACTGATGTAATTGCTATAACCAGAAGTGTGTTTATCTGTTACATGAAGTGCCAGAGTAGATATCAA